ATTTCAGCAATTGTTTTGTCAGTAGAATGATTATTTAGATACTTATTTTGCTATTTTCATTTTTAAATTATATTCTGCTCACTGGAATTATTAACCTATTTAGTCCATGAAGCCTCACTCACCATCATCTATACTCTATTTATGATAACCAGTCAGTAAAAGAAGGAGTTTCTTCCACTACTCATTGATTTAATGCCTGTTACTTTGCTGAAAATGTAAGCCCACTCCCTGCTTTTTAACAGTGCAGAAAGTTTCAATGGATCATATAATTCAACAGTCAGGGATGAGAGAGGAGTGAATGGACTCTACCATTTGACTGTCAGCACTACATTAGCATGTCAGAAATGCCATAGTAGTTTTATATATATTTCATTATTTAACTCTATTCATTGTATGTGGGTATTATGCTCAATTGCATAATTTTGCCATTCTTACTAAGCTGCACTACTAGTATTGCTTTAAGTGTACTTACAAATACATATATGCAAGGTATATGACTGATGTCACTCAGAAACTGGCATACTGGCAATAAAGGCATCAAACAGGAGGTTTGTCCTCCTTGGGGAAGTGTCCCCAAACAGGGCAAATCACAGAAGACTGGGCAGGAGCTTGGGCAGACCAGAAATGGGTGTTAAAAGATCACCCCTGAAGCACAGAACATGGTGGTGCTGGAACGGAGTTTAGATGAGTATATCTTGAAAATGTACATTGAATATGTCATGTATCTTTGTGATTTATGATGTATACAATGTATTTGGGGTGATTTAAATAAAAATCAACTCCCATTTCTTTAAATGATTAAATAAACCTTGTTGTTTTTTTTTTTTTTAAAGCAGTTGAAATACAAATCAAAAATGTTTGCATTGCAATGTGCCAGGCATTACATTATTAGTAGATCTAATAAATCTATTGATCTATGACAATACTGTCCAACTTCAATGCGAATTAGATAGTTCTGGACAAAAATACTGGTGACCAGGATAATATATCTGACAATATTTGTATATATGTTGTTTTGTCCTATCATTATTACTCCTCTTCAGTCTCATTGTGTCCCCCATTTCAGTTTCTTCATCATATTGCTTCTTCAAAACTCCCCTCATCTCCCTCTAAACATTTGCCTTCTCTTATTCCATCTCTCCATTCCATTACTTGCTTCCTAATATAATCTCTTTATTCAACATCCATTTTCTGTTCCTTGTTTAATTGTTAACCCTTTTTTTTAAATTCTTTATTTTTGGTGTGCACAAAAGTAACAATACGCCTTGGTGCATCACAACAGCGACATCAGGGTACATTAGTGAACATTTGCATTACAGGTTGTGGTAATCGATTGTCAGGCGCATTTTTTAGTTAGAAATAACAAAATTGCAATAGTTTAGGTGCTCGATTAGCGTAAACATTTGAGTGTTCAATGCAATTGTAAATTATAAACACGTTTAGTTCAGTAGTTTAAGATTAGTGTTCATGTTGAGTGTCATCGTTTCAGTTTCTCGATATTGGTTTGGTTATGCTTATCTATGCTTAAGAGAGGGATATGCATTTTATACAGTGACGTCTGGTCTAAATTATCATAACATATAATAGGTTAGACCGCAAGTTTACATTTCAAGTTATGCTAGTGTAATGATATTGATGTTACAACATTTTGGAGTCCAGTAGCCAGATCAGCAATGTTTTCTGCCAGAGGTAGCCACTCGTTACCCAGGTGGTTGAGCCCCTGAGCCTTGAGTGGCCTTCTGGTCTTAAGCAGAGATGGGAGACTGGAACAGAAAGATGATAATCGTAGTGAGGCAAGCCGAGGTCAGTGGGAAGGAGAAGCAGCAAAGTCAAAACAGTCCAAATTCAGCAACAGGAAGGAGAAACAGGAACGCTTGATTAGAGAGTACAGGAACCACAATAATCTGGCAAAGGTACAGAGACAGGAAGTGGCTTTTATAGGCCAAGAACCAGACACCTGACCAGACACAGCTGAAGAGAGTTGTCACTGATAACCTTGACTCTACAAGCAATGGTATCAGATCTCAGGTAAATTTGCAAAAGGCAGGCTGGTGTACTGGTAAGGAGGAGGTTTAGCACCATGTAAACCAGGGTTCGAAACCCAGCAGAGTCAGTTCCTCACATTACCCCCACCTCTACAGGCGCTGCCTCTGGATGCTCTATTTCCTGGTTTAGCAGGGTACTGTGCATGGAAAGACTGAAGAAGATCAGGAGCATGAATATTGTCCACTGGTTCCCACGATCTATCCTCCTCACCATAGCCTTTCCAATGAACCAAATATTGAAGCTTGTTGCGGAAGATCCTGGAGTCAAGAATTTTTTCCACCTCGTATTCATCTTCACCATCCACGAGGACTGGTGGTGGGGCAGGCAAGGCTCGACCAGGGAAAGTATTTTCATGAAAAGGTTTAAGCAGTGCCACGTGAAACACCGGATGTATTTTCATGGAATCCGGAAGTTGCAGACGGAAGGTGACTGCATTGATCTGAGCGATTATCTTAAAAGGTCCCATGAACTTTTGACCCAATTTATGAGAAGGAATCCTAAGCTTAAGATTCTTTGTTGACAGCCAAACCTTGTCACCAACATGATAAACTGGGGCCTCCTTTCTGTGCCTATCAGCAGCTCTTTTGTAACATTCCTGAGCCTCCGAAAGAGTCTCCTTCAACAGTTCTTGGGAATCTCGTAAGGCGGTTAGCCGGTCAGTGACTGCAGGAATGGGAGTAGTAATTGGGAGACTCACTAGAAAGGTTGGATGGTAACCATAATTCGCAAAAAATGGACTCAGAGAAGTGGAGCAGTGTTGGGCATTGTTATAGGCAAACTCCGCCGTGGGTAGAAAATCCAGCCAGTCATCCTGCAGGTAACTAATATAGCACCGCAAATATTGTTCTAAAGTCTGGTTGGTTCGCTCAGTCTGTCCATTACTTTGTGGATGAAAAGCTGAAGACAGATTTACATTAATACCTAGAATAGAACAAAAATATTTCCAAAAATGAGATGTAAACTGCACTCCCCTGTCAGAAATTACTTCATCAGGCACTCCATGCAAGCGAAATATTTCCCGAATAACAAGGTCAGCAGTCTGTTTAGCTGAAGGGAGACCATGAGCTGGTATGAAATGACTCATCTTAGTTAACCGGTCCACAACAACAAGAATGGTAGTGTGTTCCTTAGAGGGAGGTAGTTCCACAATAAAGTCCATGGATATAGATCCCCAGGGACGATGAGGAATCGGAAGAGGCTGAAGCAAGCCAACAGGGGATGAGCGAGGAGTCTTATGTCTGGCACATACATCACAAGAGGACACATACTTCTTAACATCCTCATAATATTTAGGCCACCAAAAGGATCGGGTAAGTAGTTCTTGTGTCTTTCGGATTCCTGGATGACCTGCTGGTTTAGAGTCATGGTAGAGGCGTAAAACGTCCAGTCGCACTGATTCTGGAACAAACAGACGTTGTTGAAAAATCCAAAACCCATTAAGCATGGTCATATGAAGATCACGAGGAGGATCACGAAAAACTGGATCTTTAGAGTAGCCCTTTTTAATGCGAGACATTAGATCAGAAGGAAAGGTAACTCCTAAAAATCTGCTCTCCGGCAAGATGGTGGCCTTGGTTACTGTAGTATGGAGGGGGTCAGCTATCCTAGACAAGGCATCTGCCTTGCCATTTCTGGAACCAGGGCGGTATGAAATAAAAAAATTAAACCTTGAGAAAAATAGGGACCAGCGTGCTTGTCTGGCTGACAGTCTCTTAGCGGATTGAATACATTCCAGATTTTTGTGATCTGTGAGGACAGTAATTGGATGGGTGGCTCCCTCCAAGAGATGTCTCCATTCGGTGAAGGCAGCTTTTATAGCCAAAAGTTCTTTATTCCCTATGTCATAATTTCTTTCTGCTGGTAACATCTGGCGGGAATAGAAGGCACATGGATGTAACAACATCTTAGGTCCAGTCCTTTGAGACAGTATAGCCCCAACAGCTGAATCAGAAGCATCTACCTCTACAGTAAATGGCAATTCTGGCTGAGGATGTACCAAGATAGGGGCAGATGTAAACAGAGTCTTTAATCTGGAAAATGCAGTGTCAGCCTTATTGGACCACTGAAAAGGAGTCCCTTTACGTGTAAGTTCAGTGATCGGTGTAATAACGGCAGAGAAATTCTTAATGAAACGCCTGTAAAAATTGGCAAACCCTACAAATCTCTGTATATCTTTTTCATTCTTGGGGATGGGCCAGTCCAGCACAGCTTTAATTTTACTTGCGTCCATACTTAAACCTTTAGGAGTTATTACATACCCCAGGAACTGAATTTCTGTTTGTTCAAACTCACATTTTTCCAGTTTAATGTATAGGTGGTGGGTACGAAGGCGCTCAAAAACAATGCAGACCTGTTTTCTGTGATTTTCAAGATTATCAGAAAATATCAGGATATCATCCAAATATGCCACAACAAACTGATCCAGGAGATCCCGTAGTACATCATTGATTAGATGCTGAAAAGTTGCAGGGGCATTACAAAGCCCAAATGGCATTACTAGATATTCGTAATGTCCGTACCTGGTTCTGAAAGCTGTTTTCCTTTCATCATTTGGTCTTATGCGAACCAGATTATATGCCCCCCGTAGATCAAGCTTCGTAAATATTTTAGCTGAACGAAGTCTCTCCAGAAGTTCAGGAATGAGAGGCAAGGGATAACGGTTTTTAACAGTGATTTTATTAATGTCCCTGTAATCTACACAAGGCCGTAGACTGCCATCTTTCTTTTCTACAAAGAATATAGGAGCTCCTGCTGGAGAAGTGGATGGTCGAATAAAGCCTTTGGCAAGATTTTCTTGTATGTATTCACGAAGTGCTTTCAATTCAGGCTCAGAAAGGGAGTATATACGGCCAAATGGGATAGCAGTTCCAGGTAGCAGCTCTATGGGGCAATCATAAGGCCTGTGAGGTGGAAGCTGATCAGCATTCTTCTTATCACAGACATCTGCAAAATCACGATATTGTAGAGGAAGCTTAGTTAAGTTTGTAGCAACCATTTCATTAATTGTTGTGGTAACAGGTGTCGCCTTAGAGGGTTGACAATTCATTAAGCAGTGTTCTGAAGGAAAGGACAAGGTTCTAGTCTTCCAATCAATTTGTGGGTTATGCAGAGCAAGCCAGGGTATACCCAAAATCACTGGAAACTGTGTTGAGGAAATTAGGTGGAAAGATATAGACTCATGGTGATTCACTTCCAGAATCAATTTTAAGGGCACAGTCTCATGTGTAACCGGGCCTGACGTAAGTGGAGAACAGTCTACTGTTTCCATTAACACAGGTGAAGATTTAGGGATAGACTGAATTTTATTTCCTGCTGCAAATTTAATGTCCATAAAGTTTCCGCCTGCTCCGGAATCTATCATAGCTGTAGTTGAAATTTTATTATCACCATATTGCAAAGTGATAGGCACCACCAAATGAGGATGTTGAGTCATCATACCTTCTTCACCCTGAGCCAGAGAAAACAAGGGTTGTGTGACAGAATCCAGTTGGTCTGAAATCTGGGATTGGTGTTGAATCTGTGCACCCTCAGCAGTCATAGCTATTGTTCTTTTAGACTTGTTAGGGCAATTGATGGCATAATGCCCTGCACTACCACAATACAGGCATAAGTTGTGAGTGCGTCGCCACTGTTTTTCTTCATTGGATAATGGCCCTCTTATTAGATCTACCTGCATAGCCTCAGGTTCAGAGTCTGTAGGTGTTTGTGGGGTCGGAGTAGAAATTCTTGAATAGAAAGTAGGAGTAGCACTTGGTTTAAAAGAGCCCTGTCTTTCCAATCTTCTTTCTGAAAGTCTCCGATCAATACGGATAGCCAACCGCACAAATGCAACAAACTCAACAGGAAGATCAACACGAGCTAGCTCATCTTTTATAGCTTCTGAGAGACCCCTTCTGAAGTGGAACCTCTGGGCTGATTGGTTCCAAGTAGTATCAGTAACCCACTGTCTGAATTCAGCAGCATATTCAGCCACAGAGAGCCTCCCTTGATGTAAATGAAGGAGAGTGGCTTCTGCTGTAGCACAGCGATTGGGATCATCAAAAACTAGGCACATGGCCTCAAGAAAGTCTTTTAAATTTCCCAAGACTGGACTGTCCTGTTCCAGAAAAGGGGAGCCCCAGGCCAGGGCTTCATCTTTGAAGAGGGAAAAAATAAATCCCACCTTCTCTCTTTCAGATGGAAAACGGTTAGGTAACATCATGAAATGCAAACGGCATTGATTTAGGAAACCCCTAAATTTTTTGCGGTCTCCTCCAAATTTTTCTGGTAGAGGCAAGTGGGCATCTTGTGCAGGTGTAACAGTAGTAGTAGCAGCAGCCGCAACATCATGTGCCCTGTAGCTGGTAAGCTCACTATGCATTGATCGAACTTCATTTTGCAGTTCAGCTACCTGATCCTGCAGCACTTGAATGGTCTGTGCCTGGGTCTGCATAGTTCTTGCATTAAAAGCAACCTGCTGGGCCAATGCAGAATCTGATCCGACGGTCTCCATGAATGTGCCAGATTATTCTGTAATGATATTGATGTTACAAAGTTTTGGAGTCCAGTAGCCAGATCAGCAATGTTTTCTGCCAGAGGTAGCCACTCGTTACCCAGGTGGTTGAGCCCCTGAGCCTTGAGGGGCCTTCTGGTCTTAAGCAGAGATGGGAGACTGGAACAGAAAGATGATAATCGTAGTGAGGCAAGCCGAGGTCAGTGGGAAGGAGAAGCAGCAAAGTCAAAACAGTCCAAATTCAGCAACAGGAAGGAGAAACAGGAACACGCTTGATTAGAGAGTACAGGAACCACAATAATCTGGCAAAGGTACAGAGACAGGAAGTGGCTTTATAGGCCAAGAACCAGACACCTGACCAGACACAGCTGAAGAGAGTTGTCACTGATAACCTTGACTCTACAAGCAATGGTATCAGATCTCAGGTAAATTTGCAAAAGGCAGGCTGGTGTACTGGTAAGGAGGAGGTTTAGCACCATGTAAACCAGGGTTCGAAACCCAGCAGAGTCAGTTCCTCACAGCTAGATTATGCCGTGCAGCTCTGATAGGAAAATGCAGTTCTACTTGTGTTACTTGCATTACGGTAGGTGTTTGTGTTGCCTGTCAGGAAGCTGGGCCTCTTTGTGTAGGTGTTGGATCACTGTGTTTTGGCGAGTGTCTGTTCTAGGGAGTTAAGGGGCCACGGGTATCAGCTCGTGCAGTGTGTGGAGTCGCAGTACCTGTCGGCAGAGGTGTTCCCTGGGTGTCGTGCAGCGAGGTGAGATTAGTTTGGCACAGGTATGTGTGCCATCGCGTGGGTGCCTGTGTGTGCCTGTGTGTGCTTAGTGTGTGTCTGTTCTGTGTTGTGGTGCATCGGTGATTCTGTGTATGTAGGCAGGTAAGTGGGGTCTTAGTGGGGTAGTCCATCAGGTT